TTTTGTAGGGAAGCCCAAAAAAATGTGAGGATCGTGATTGTAAAATTTCATGTTTCTTTGATGCCGATTTTATTTTAGTTTATTTTTCAGAAACCAAAAATAAAGAAAATCATACAAAAATAGAATATTCATCGAAAAATGGTGCCGCTTGTTGCATTAACTCCTAAACATCGTATCTTAATTTTAGAATGCAAAACATAAATAAAACTATAAATTTTAGACCTACCCCGGCCGCTAGGCGCCCCACTACGCGGTACGGGGGCTTTTTGACAGAGTTTTATTTTTTTTTGTCATTTTTTGATGCCATTTTTTTTGCAGGCATGCCCAACAATATTTAAGGATCGTGTCTCCAAATTTAGTAATTTTTTGACGTCATTTTTATTTTATTTGATTTTTCAAATACGAAAAATAAAGAAAATCATAAAAAATAGAATATTCATAAAAAATAGTGCCGTTTGTTGCATTAATTCCTAAAAATCGTATATTAACTTTAGAATGGAAAGCATAAATAAAAATGTAAAATTTTGACCCATGTTGGTCCCTGGCGCCAACACGCGGGCCGGGCGCTTTTTGACATCGTTTTTCTTCTTTTTTGTCATTTTTTGAAGCCATTTTTCACAAGCATAACCAAAAAATGCAAGGACCATTTCTGTAAAATTTAGTAATCTTTTGACATCGTATTATTTTATTTTATTTTTCAAAGATGAAAAATAAAGAAAATTTTTAAAAAATAGAATATTCATCAAATAATAGTGCCGCTTATTGCATTAATCCCAAAAAATCATATATTAATTTTAGAATTTAAAACATAAATAAAACTGTAAATCTTTTACCAATCCCGACCTCTGGGCGCCCCTCTACGCGGGGCGGGGGCTTTTGACAGCGTTTTACTTTTTTTGTAATTTTATGATGCCATTTTTTACAAGCATACCCAGAAAAATGTAAGGATTGTGTCTGCAAAATTTCATAATTTTTTGTCGTCGTATTATTTTATTTTATTTTTTAAAGACGAAAAATACGAAAATCATAAAAAATAGAATATTCATCAAATAATGGTGCCGCTTAGTTCATTAATTCCTAAAAATCGTATATTAATTTGAGAATGCAAAACATAAGTAAAATTGTAAATTTTTTACTAATCCCAGCCCCTGGGCGGCCCACTACACGGGGAGGGGGCTTTTTGACAGAGTTTTACTTTTTTTTCATTTTTTTGCAGGCATGCCCAGAAAAATGTAACGATCGTTTCTATAAAAGTTCATTTTTTTGAGGCCATTTTTTTTGCAGACATGCCCGGAAAAATGTGAGGATCGTGTCTGCAAAATTTCATAATTTTTTGATGTCATTTTCATTTTATTTTATTTTTTAAAGATAAAAAATAAAGAAAAATCATAAAAAATACAATAGTCATCAAAAAATGGCACCACTTGTCGCATTAATTCCCAAAAATATGAAAAATAAATAATATCATAAAAATAGAATATTCATAAAAAAATGACACCGTTTGTTGCATTACTTTCCAAAATCGTTTGTTAATTTTAGAATGGAGAACATAAATAAAAATGTAAATTTTTGACCCATCTCGGCCCCTGGCGCCCCAGTACGCGGGCCGGGGGCTTTTTAACAGGTTTTTTGTGATTTTTTGAAGCCATTTTTCGCAGGCATACCCAGAAAAATCTAAAGATCGTGTATGCAAAATTTCAAAACTCTTTGACATCGTATTATTTTATGTTTTTTTCAACGATGAAAAATAAAAAAAATCATAAAAAATATAATATTCATCAAATAATGGTCCAGCTTATTGGATTAATTCACAAAAATCGTATAATCATTTTAGAATGCAAAACATAAATAAAACTGTAAATTTTTTACACATCCCGCCCTGTGGGCGCCCCACTACGCGGGGCGGGGGTTTTTTGATAGTGTTTTACTCTTTGTGCTTTCCTTTGAGTCCTTTTTTTGCAAATAATCGTATGTAAGGATCATGTCTACAAAATTTCATAATTTTTTGACATCGTTTTTATTTTGTTTTATTTTTCAAAAACCAAAAATAAAAAAATCATAAAAAATAGAATATTCCCTAAAAAATGGTGTCATTGGTTGCATTAATTTCTAAAATCATATATTAATTTTAGAATGTAAAACATAAATAAAAATATAAATTTTTTACCAATCTCGGCCCCTAGGCGCCCCACTACGTGGGTCGGGGGCTTTTTGACAGTGTTTTACTTTTTTGTCATTTTTTGAGTCCACTTTTTTTTTTTTAGGAATGCCCAGTAAAATGTAAGGATCATGTCTACAAAATGTCATAATTTTTTGACATCATTTTTATTTTATTTTATTTTTTAAAAACCAAAAAATAAAGAAAATCGTAAAAAATAGAATATTCATCAAAAAATGGTGCCGCTGGTTGCATTAATTCTGAAAAATCATATATTAATTTTAGAATGCAAAACATAAATAAAAATGTAAATTTTTGACCCATCCCGACCCCTGGGCGCCCAAGTACGCGTGCCTGGGGCATTTTGACAGCGTTATGCTTTTTTTGTCATTTTTTGAGGTCATTTTTTGCAAACATGCCTAGAAAAATGTAAGGATCATGTCGAAAATATTTCATAATTTTTAGATGTCGTTTTTATTTTATTTCATTTTTCAAAAACCAAAAATAAAGAAAATCATAAAAAATAGAATATTCATCAAACAATGGTGCCGCTTGTTACATTAATCCTAAAAATTAGATATTAATTTGAGAATGCAAAACATAAATAAAAATGTAAATTTTTTACCCATCCCGGCCCCTGGGTGCCGCACTACGCGGGCTGGGGGCTTTTTGACAGTGTTTTACTTTTTTCGTCATTTTTTAGGCCATTTCTTCCGGACACGCCCAGAAAAATGTAAGGATCGTATCTGTAAAATTTAATAATTTTTTAACGTCATTTTTATTTTGTTTTATTTTTCAAATACAAAAAATGCAGAAAATCATGAAAAATAGAATACTCATAAAAAAATGTTGTCGTTTGTTGCATTAATTCCTAAAAATTGTATATTAAATTTAGTGTGCAAAACATAAATAGAAATGTAAATTTTTTACCCATTTCGGCCCTTGGGCGCCCCACTACGCGGGCCGAGGGCTTTTTGATAGCGTTTTACATTTCTGTCTTTTTTAGGCCATTTTTTGCAGGCATGCCCAAAAAAATATAATGATCGTTTCTGTAAAATTTCATAATTTTTTGACGTCGTTTTTATTTTATTTTATTTTTTAAAAACCAAAAATAAAGAAAATTATAAAAAAATAAAATATTTATCAAACAATGGTGCCGTTTGTTGCATTAATTCCTAAGAATTGTATATTAATTGTAGAATGTAAAACATAAATAAAAATGTAAATCTTTGACCCATCCCGGCCCCTCGCGTCCCACTACGCGGGTCGAAGGCCTTTTGACAGCGTTTTTTTTGTCATTTTTCGAGACCATTTTTTGCATGCATGTCCAGAAAAATGTAAGGATCGTGTCTGCAAAATTTCATATTTTTTTGACATCGTTTTTATTTTATTTTATTTTTCAAAGTCTGAAAATAAAGAAAATCATAAAAAATAGACTATTCATCAAAAGATGATGCTGCTTCTTACATTAATTCTTAAAAATTGTATATTAATTTTAGAATACAAAACATAAATAAAAATATAAAATTTTGACCCATCCCGGCCCCTGAGCGCCTCACTACGCGGCCGGGGGCATTTTGACAGCGTTTTATTATTATTTTTTTGTCAATTTTTAAGGTCATTTTCTTCAGACATGCCTAGAAAAAATTAAGGATCGTGTCGGAAAAATTTCATAATTTTTAGACGTCATTTTTATTTTATTTTATTTTTCAAAGACTAAAAATAAAGAAAATCATGCAAAATAGAATATTCATGAAACAATGGTGTCGCTTGTTACATTAATTCCTAAGAATTGTATATTAATTTTAGAATGCAAAACATAAGTAAAAATGTAAATTTTTGACCCATCCCGGCCCTTAGGCACCTCACTACGCAGGCCGGGAGCTTTTTGACAGCGTTTTACTTTTTTTGTCATTTTTTCCAGGCACGCCCAGAAAAATGTAAGGATCGTATCCGCAAAATTTAATAATTTTTTGACGTCATTTTTATTTTGTTTTATTTTTCAAAGACAAAATATGAAGAAAATCATGAAAAATAGAATACTCGTCCAAAAATGTTGCCGCTTGTTACATTAATTCCTAAAAATTGTATATTAAATTTAGTATGCAAAACATAAATAGAAATGTAAAATTGACCCATCCCGGCCCTTGGGCACCCCACTACGCGGGCCAAGGATTTTTTGACAGCGTTTTACATTTGTCATTTTTTGAAGCCATTTTTTGCAGGCATGCCCAAAAAAATATAAAGATCGTTTCTGCAAAATTTCATAATTTTTTAATGTCATTTTTATTTTATTTTATTTTTCAAAAACCAAAAATAATGAAAATCATAAAAAATAAAATATTCATCAAACAATGGTTCCGTTTATTGTATTAATTCTTAAAAATCGTATATTAATTTTAGAATGTAAAACATAAATAAAAATGTAAATTGTTAACCCACCCCAGCCTCTAGTGCCCTACTACACATGCTGGAGGCTTTTTGACAGTATTTTTTTTGTCATTTTTTGAGACCATTTTTTGCAGGCATGTCCAGAAAAATGTAAGAATCGTGTCTGTAAAATTTCATAATTTTTTGACGCCGTTTTTATTTTATTTGATTTTTTAATAATGCAAACCGAATGTGACAAAAACGCTTGAATTTATTCACACAAGTAGACAATCCATTAGACTTCTTCCCTACAACGACGTACAAACTGCAAATTACTAACACTAAAGGAATGAGAGGCCAATGGGAGAGAACTAAATCTTTTCTTGAACCGGATAAAAGTTAGAAAAAAAATTAAATGAAAAAAAGGAATGAAAAGAATAAGAACAATAAGAGAATTCTCAGCAACTCTATGCACCTAATAAGAGCAATAAAATTACCGTCCCTGGAATTTCTGAACATCGCACCCCTTGGACATCATTCCTGCACAGGCAAAATCCACATCTACTTCAAAGTCTACTTGGTCTAAGAGTGTGACTACATTTCCACATGCATGAGCTCTCAAACTTTTACAGTTTAGCGCATTTTCTTAAGTTGAACATGCTTTCATATGAATTGGAGGGATTAGTAGATTATTAATGCTTTACTATATAATGGAAAATGGATATACGCATTCCCTTAATCCTCTTTGATATCCAAAATTGAATCCACCCACTTGATCTACAAACCCAAAAAAAAAAAAAAAAGAAGAGAATAAATAAAAATACTCAAAATGTTCCACTCAATGAACGCTATAAGAACTGTTAAAGAATGACCTTGAGGCAAGCTTCTATAAACAATTTATGTTGCATCCTTCAATGAAATGGTCGGTTATCTTTACCATTAGCAGCCCTTGCGCACAACATTTTTTAAACTAAGGAGGTATCCAATGCTAAATATTTTTGTCCAGGATTCCTTTTTGGTAATCTGCTGTTCGAAATAAAGAAAATAATTAGAAATGCGTACTTAGAGGCAAATTATAAAGTAATTGGTCATAAATTTAAGCCTTGGATAATAATATCTAACACCAACATCTGGAATAGAATAGCTAAAGACTAAGTACAAACAATGATAAATACGAAGCTAATGAAGAAATTGTTTCTACATCTAGCGTACCTTACTGAAAATTTAAGGAATGCATGGGTGGACACCTGGTCTTGTAATAAGAATTTGAAAAAAAAAAAAAAAGAAAAACAAAAAACAAAAAAAATGTGATCATTCCATAAAAAGACAACACAAACTTTAAGTCTAATATAACAAACGCATAAAATTAAGTTTTATGCAACATTTCAAAAATTGGAACATCTAAATTCCTTCAAAATGGATTAACGGGGATACAAGAAAGACAATAACAGTATATTAATATCTAAATGCTATATTGAATTTAAGAACGTTTACTATTAGAAGGAAAATAATAGAAAAAAAAATAAAACTTTAAGTTTGTAATCTGTAGTAATGGAACAGATGCTAAAAGACATAAGCTATAAGGAAGGAGAATCCTTTTCCTTCTTCTTTATTTTATTTTAATTTATTTTTTTTCAGAAAAATGAGTGGAATAACATCCCATTAAAAGGTGCCAAAGGGGTATGAGTAACCAAGTGCAATGAAAAAAACATCACTCGGAAGACAGATTCCAACTACCACTCTTCTGAAATTAAGATACTGTCAGAACCTACATCAAGCAATTTATTTAAATTACATTTAAGACGAAGTTTTAACAACATACTAACAAAAAAACTTGTTTCAATAATCAATAGGGAAGAAAACAAATAATTATTTCTTTGTGGGTCACTTAAGTGTCCAAAAGTCAAATTATTGTTCGTTCCAAGTTTAATTCCTTCTGACACGTTCAGTTTTAATTTCATAATACATATCACCAAAAAGACTAACTTATGTTTAACTTTTAATACAAGTGACAGCACATACCATATCACTTCAAATAATCTTGACACCAAGTTTACAAGTAAATGAGGAAGGAATCCACGTTGTGCAGATAAAGATAATAATATCCAAAGAACAATAAATCAAAACCGCAAGAACGAGACAAGTAGTTCACAGTTTTTTGCGTGGAAAAACTTATATTCTCGATTAATAGGACATCAACTCTACCAGCTAATTTCAATCAAAATTGAAAAACGCACGAAAAGTTCAATTTAAAAAGGAAGACACAATTGATAAATTCAAATTAGAAAACAAGTTTCCGAAGAAAGAAAAAAATCCCAATGCATCAACCAGATTGGATTTGTAGAGAACCAAGCAATGTTTTCTTTACTAAATAGTGGAAAGGATAAATCCTAAGGACAGAGCAAAAAATTGGAACATAGAGATGAGAATTTGGGAATGGACTTACCAAATGGCCGAATGAAAACAACTGAGACTGTGGATGTGCAGTGCGCGTAAGAGAAATTGGGAGATAAAATTGAATTTTGCTGCTACAGCACGAAAATTGGAAAGAAAAATCTTCTCACGTTTGTTAATCTATGACCATAATAATAGAACACCGGTACACGAAAACATGAAGAATGCAGTTTATTAATAAAAGAAAAGAAAAAAAAAAGAAATGGGTTACTATGTAACGTTATGCAACGAAGTTTTTGATTAGAGAAAGTATCATTCATTTCCTTCTCTGTGAAACCAGAATCCTTCCCAACTAGAGCCATGGCTGAGATGGCGTCGTCAATGACACCAAAATGATCACCAAAAAGGGTCCACTAACTCGGATTTGTGATCTTGCTGGGTCGATTCCTATAGTAGTTGTTACTAAGGTAATGAAATTTAAACATGTCTTTCTGTTTTTTAACTGATTTAAATTGTATTGGCGATTCGGTTGTGGAGGCCACTACAAAGAAGCAGCTTAAGTATGCTTGAATTTCTTAACTTCGTTAATGTAATTTGTTTTGAATGCTATTGGTTTTGCAAAAGGATTCAATTCAGCTGGTCTGATCTATTTTGTGTACTGGGATTATATCTCAACAGTTATGAAAGACAAAAAGCCAGGCTTACAAAAGTAAAAGAAAGATCATATAAAATTTTTCCTCTTTGTCGTGCTTTTATTGTAGGTGACATGTAGAGAAATATTGATCGCACTTGTACACATTCTAAATGCATACAATTAGTATTATGGAGTTGGAGCAACGGAGTTAAGCAATGTAGATTATAACAACCATAATAACTGCTTTGAAAAACCAAAGCCCTATTCAAATATTCATAAAGGTCAAATCCAAATCCAACATTTTCGGTTGTCATTTGTCTTTTAACTCATGTTAGCTAGCTTTATGAAAAAAATTTATACATGGAATCTCTGAACTTCCCACTACAGAAAGATACAAACACATCAAATCAAAATGGAAACAGATGTTCTGTATTACAAATTGTATCTGCCTGCCTACAAAAAGGGGGAAAAAATGGTATCCTCCTCAATCTAAATCACATTAGACATGTACACTGAGATGACTAAAAATCAGTACCTCCACTTAACTACATGAACTAAATTTTCTGCTATGAGGAAAATCACGTTAGACATTTCTTTTCTTTTTAACCTTTTTCTTTCTTTATTTTGTTTCAAAACAAATGAAAGCTAACAAATAACAAATGAACACTCACTGAAACAATTTAGCAAACACTTACAGCAAACCTTAATTGAACCCAAAACACATACATAACGTTGACATCTAATTCAAATGGAAATCAATCAGAATTATCCTACTCTCTTTCAATAAAGTTTCAAATTTGTTCATGGAGTAGAATTAAGAAACACGGTAACCCAAAATAGCTAAATGCATTGTGCTTGATTTCTAGTACCAAAAAAAAAAGAAAAAAAAACACACACACACACACACAAGAAGGAATTAGAAAATCTCACCTTTGAAGCTGTTGGATTCGAAGGCACCACTTTCATATTCTTCAGCTTCTGACAACAAGGAGTATGAGTGAACTTTCAAGGAATATTGAGCTGGAGGAATTTATCTTTTGGTTCTTGATATTCCTGCAAGAAATAACAATTTTTCAAATTACTATATATAATTATCCCAATTAGATCTAGGCCTTCAGGAAAGTATAATTTCGAACAGA